GCGCACAGCTGGCAGCGCAGCCGCAGCTACAGCCGGGACCGAAGCCGCAGCGCGCGTAGCCCTTCCCAGAGGTCAGGCTCCAGGAAGGGGTCGTGGGGCCACGAGAGCCCTGAGAGCAGGCGATCCGGCCGCCGGGACTTCATCCGCTCCAAGATCTACCGCTCTCAGTCCCCCCACTATTTCCGGCCAGGCCGGGGAGACTGCTCTGGGAAGAAAGAGGACGGTAAAGCCGCGGGCCCACCCTCCCGGAACAGCAGCACGGGCGGGGGAAGAGGCTCAGAGAGTGACTGTGGCCCTGAGGATAAGAACTCTGTCACTGCTAAGCTGCTCCTGGAGAAGGTCCAGTCCAGGAAAGGGGAGCGGAAGCCCAGCATGGGCGAGGAGGTGCCGGCCACCCCCAGTAAGGCTGGGCTCAAGCTCAAGGACCCCCCGCAAGGTTACTTTGGGCCCAAGCTCCCCCCTTCTTTGGGCAGCAAGCCTGTCCTCCCACTGATAGGGAAGCTCCCGGCTCCCCGAAAGCCCAACAGAAAATGTGAGGAGTCTGGAGGAGAGAGGGGGGAAGAGCAAGCCCAGTCCGAGACGGAAGAGGGTCCCCCTGGGAGCGGACGCCAGTTCCCAGCGGAGGACACCGGCCCCCTATCTGACCTGCCCCCAGGAGAGCCAAAGTCCAAAGAAGCTGCCGCCGAGCACCCTGTGGCCCCGCTGGGCACCCCCGCGCACTCTGACTGCCACCCCGGGGACCCAGCCGTCCCCCATAGCTACCTCCCCGACACCCTCGATGGGGAGGCCTTGGAGGGTGGCGGCCGGCCGGGCCCCATGGACGCTGGCTTGCTGCCCACGGCCCCTGACCTGGAGCACTTTCCCGGAGGTGAGCCCAGTGGCGAGTCCCCGGAGGGCGTGGAGGATGCCTCACTGGCGCCCCTGGAGAGCCAGCCCCTCACCTTCACGCCGGAGGAGATGGAGAAGTACAGCAAGCTCCAGCAGGCCGCGCAGCAGCACATCCAGCAGCAGCTGCTGGCCAAGCAGGCGAAGGCCTTCCCTGCCTCCGCCGCCCTGGCCCCTGCCGCCCCCGCCCTGCAGCCCATCCACATCCAGCAGCCAGCCGGGGCCTCAGCCACCTCCATCACCACGGTGCAGCACGCCATCCTGCAGCACCATGCGGCTGCTGCCGCTGCTGCCGCCATAGGCATCCACCCCCACGCCCACCCGCAGCCTC